ATAATGCAACCTGTCAATAACAGGGTTGCAGAATTCTTCTCCTTAGATGCGCCAGGAAGAACTGGTAAAACGTTCCTAATTAGATTGATTCTGGCAGCAATTCGATCCCAAAATGACATAGCCTTAGCTCTTGCCTCATCCAGAATAGCTGCGACATTGCTACCAGGTGGAAGAACTGCTCATTCCACTTTGAAATTGCCACTGAACATGAAATTCGTTGAAACTCCCACGTGCAACATTTCCAAAGCATCAGGCATGGGAAAGGTATTGCAGAAATGCAAACTTATTGTTTGGGATGAATGCACAATGGCGCACAAAAAATTGCTTGAGGCTCTTCATCGATCATTGCAAGATTTGTGTGGAAACATCAGACCATTTGGGAACACATTAATATTGCTTGCAGGAGATTTCAGGCAAACATTACCTGTAATTCCTCGATCGACACCAGCGGACGAAATAAATGCTTGCCTGAAATACTCTACTTTGTGGCGACACATAAAGACATTAAAATTAACTACAAATATGTGTGTCCAGCTGCAAAACGATCGATCAGGTGAGATATTCTCACATCAATTGCTGGTAACTGGGAACAGAAAGGTGCCGGTTGATCTGACCTCAGGACGAATTTCATTGCCTCATAACTTCTGCAATTTAGTGATGTCAAAAGAAGAATTGGTTGAAAAAGTATTTCCCAATATTCAAACCAATTATAAGAATCACGATTGGCTGAGTGAACGAGCTATTCTTGCGGCCAAGAACAAAGACGTCTACGAACTTAACAGTATCATTCAGTCTAACATTCAATGCGAGGCAGTCACATACAAGTCCGTCGACACTGTTGTGGAAGCAGATGAAGGGTTAATTATCCAACAGAATTTTGAATTCACTCGATCTGTCAGGGATGCCACCGCACGTGCTGCAATTGAAAATAGGCGTGCCAATTATCATGTTGCGAAATATCAACCAGCCAAAGCTTTGCAGCGGCTTGCAGTATAAAAATTATTGAGCAACGTCGTAGAAGCAACAATCTTGACAGGACCTGAAGATGTCCTCATTCCTTGCATTCCTATGATTCCAACGGATGTGCCATTTCAATTTAAGAGATTGCAATTCCAAATTCGATTGGCGTTTGCATTCACCATCATCAAAGCTCAGGGCCAATCTTTAGAATTGTGCGGTTTAGATCTAGACACGGGTTGCTTCTCACATGGACAGTTATATGTTGCGTGTTCTAGAGTCGGCAAACCAGACAATCTCTATATCTGCACAGATAATGGAACAACAAAAAATATTGTATACCCACAAGCATTGTGAAATTAAACATATTAGAAAGGTGCGCTTTCTCTTTTCTTTCTTTTCCATTTAACCAGACTGAGCCATAGCAACACGTGGCCGGGTACCGCTAGTATAAATATTGTAGCGTGTCTCGAGTTCGAATCTTGTTTGTCGCGTGTGTAAGTTCAAATCCCACTTCTGACACCACTGTAGCATGTTTTGTGTGTGTCACGCTGCAAATAAATTCAAGTGGGTCTCGAATTCCGTAGAATCTTTATTGTTCTTCACCTACACACTCACGCTTTACAATTGTCATCACTTGCAGTATTACAATCACTGCTTACAATACCTTGGCGGCACTGGACTCTCTTCTTCGAAGGCTGGATGAAGACTCTCTTCTTCAGAGGCTGGATAAAGACTGACTTCTTAGACGGCTGGATGAAGACTCAATTCTTAGATGGCTGGGCAAAGACTGACTTCTTCAAAGGCTGGATCAAGACTCACTTCTTCGAAGGCTGGATCAAGACTGACTGTGCGAATGCATTCAACCCCGCTATATAACCTCGGTCGCTGCTATGCAACGAACCCTCTGTTATAACCATGGAGACTCCTGTTAGAACTACAATGGAGCGATTGTTGTTTCCTATGCAACAGTCTATTCTAGAGTTTCCATAGAAGTGACTCTTCTGGATTCCTGACACGTTACATTGCTCCCTTCTAAAGGTTGTTCGTCCCCGAACAGCCTAAAGGTTCTACCTCGGTTTCGATTCCGCGGTGTTCTGCTGGCAACGTCTGCATTCGGCCTTGGTGTCCCTTGTGCGTCTTATTGCGCCGTTCATTTTGTCGCATCTGCCCCTCTCTTCAGTTGTGCTCATCCCGAGCACTCCCGTGGTCCAGAATTTGTTGGCCGCCTTGTTTCACATTCATTCGTTCTCCATTCATCCTTGTCGGGGAGGCCGGTACTTCTACTTTACCGGTTCCTCCCATAAGGGTCGTTTCCCTTTTTCCGTTTTGGAGGGGGTCGACCCCTCCACAGTGTCCAGTGTCTCGTTTTCGGTAACTTGCTGGAAAGTCTCACTGCTAACTTTACAAGTTTTAACCCGATGATCTTCCTGAGCGTCCGGCTGGCTGTCCTCTCGTTTTTTGGATGCAGCCGCTGTCTTGTGTATGCGTTTTTTACTCTAGTGTTGCCCTCCGGTTCCACCTGAAGTCTTCGCCATTTAGGGGCTTCCCTTGCAACTTTGTTCCTAGTTGGGTTGATCCCCATGATGTGTCCCCTACGTCATGCTACTTTTGTACGGAGGGACATCCTGTTGTCTATTGGCATTCTCCGTGCCACTTTCTCTTGGCGTCTTGTCTCTTGGGCGACGGCCAATTCCTTCTGGGGTTCACAAATTACCCGCGTTGAATCCTTTGCTTTCTGGCGGCGGCGCTCCGTGGCCAGTTTCCGGTCCCTACGCCTCTCCTTCGGTTCTCCGACCGGTATTCTCGGGGCGTCTACTACAGGGACTTCTTCTCTCTGCGTCGCCTCAGGTTTCATGTTCACTGAAACTGGCTCCACTACATCTTGGCAGGCTGTCATCTCTTCCTGCCAGACGTTCATATCTGCTTTCAACTTCTTGGCTTGCATGGCGGCCATTTCTTCTCGCCATGCTTTCCGCTCAGCCATAATTTCTTTCAGCATTTCAAGTATTAGCTGAATGTCTTGCTCCTCCATTTTCTTTTTTCTTTTCGTAAATTCAATACTTCTTCCTAAATCAAGGCGTGTTTAAGTTTGTAAACCCACTTCTGACACCAGTGTAGCATGTTTTGTGTGCATCACGCTACAAATAAATTCAAGTGGGTCTCGAATTCCGTAGAACCTTTATTGTTCTTCACCTACACACTCACACGCTTTACGATTGTCATCACTTGCAGTATTACAATGACTGCTTACAATACCTCGGCGGCACTGGACTCTCTTCTTCGAAGGCTGGATGAAGACTCTCTTCTTCGGAGGCTGGATAAAGACTGACTTCTTAGACGGCTGGATGAAGACTACTTAGATGGCTGGGCAAAGACTGACTTCTTCGAAGGCTGGATCAAGACTCACTGTGCGAATGCATTCAACCCCGCTATATAACCTCGGTCGCTGCTATGCAACGAACCCTCTGCTATAACCATGGAGACTCCTGTTAGAACTACAATGGAGCGATTGTTGTTTCCTATGCAACGGTTTATTCTAGCATTTCCATAGAAGTGACTCTTCTGGATTCCCGACACGTTACAATATATATATAAAATAGAATTTTTAAAATAATACAATACCCATAATATATTTGCAGAACTACCTTCCCAACAAAGACAGGCAGCACAAGTTTGGCCCCATCAAGAAAAGTGAAAGGACAAGGGACACGAACCTATTCGGTTAAAGAATTGTAACTTAAATAACAAAAAGTTTTTAAAAAAATTTTAATGCTTCAAGGACAGTTGCTAGTTGTAAGAAATTTGGATTTTGAATAAAGTGTATGTTACAAATACAGTAAAACTTGGTTATAGCAACATCGGTTTCTGCGACACCTTGTCTATTGCGTCAAATATTCAATGGTACGAAATAATTCCTCATAAAGCAACTGTTTTTATACCTTGCTTAGTACGACATGCACAAATGCATCAACCTCGTATGTAACGTCATTTTCATTCCTGAATTTCTCTGATATCGTGGGAAAGTTCGATGTGTCTGCCCACCCTCACTTTCTCTACTTGCTGACGTGACTGTCCTGGAAGAATACGACCGCGGGCTGTAAGAGGAGCGTGGGTTTTATGCGAAAACAAGGGTGTGGGGTGGGACTGCGTGAATAGTGCAAGAGGACGCGGCAGGTTGTTAACTGCATTCCTTTCCTAGAATCTCGTCTAACAGGACCTCACATTGTCTACTTACCCTATAGTGTTCCTGCCTAAACCCAGAGAAGTGCAGTAGCGAAACATGGCAATGAAAAGGAAAGTTTTAAGCATTGAAGAGAAAGTTACAGTGATTCGTGAAATATTGTGTGTATTGTCAGTGAAAAGCGCTGTAATATGTCTTTGATATTACACATTTGGGCAATTCCACGTTAATGTTACGTTAGTCTGTACTTAACTATGTATTTCACTTAAAAATGCAACATTTTTAACTCGGTTTTTGGTAGATTTTTATGTGACTAACATAAGGCTACTGTGGAAGTGCCCATTTCGGTTACAACGACATTCGTTTATAACGACACTATTTTTAGGTCCCTTTGATGACGTTATAACCAAGTTCTACTGTATTGTATATTTATGTGTTTTAAAAATCAAAGCACCCAATGTAATACTAGCTTCTAAAAGTATTGATGTTCCGTCTGATGATGGTCTATAGGGACCGAAACATGTTAGGGCGCTAAGAAGTGTAGTAGAAGCTTCAACAGTCACACTGGACAGAATTGTTTTATCATTTATAATATTGTTAGTGTGACGGACCAGAATGAAACAAATCAAATTCCCCAACCATAGTAACACAAAAATTTTGAGTATCCTCCTTATTTTCTACAATGAAAAATTGATAACTACAAATTAATACTAGAGGGAAAGCAGTGGTTACCACTGAGCAAATAATAATGGAATATTTGTAGGACTAGAAATCTGTGCAGCAGGAGAGTAGAATTTATGAGTTCTGCTTGTAACTCACAGTAAGTTCAACAACAGTTAATTTTCTGACACACACTTACATGTGCATTCTTATAGTCAAACCTCATGCTCCGTTTCTTTATTAACATGTTATAAAAATCTATGTCCGGACGAACATCGGCTTTCTCCATGGCCAACAGCAGGGCCTGCAAATACAGAAGAAAAACCAACCTTTAACACCTTGAGAGGTAACTTTATTGCACATGGTACTTAGTGGTTAACCATGTGCTATCAGACAACATGTGTGACAAAAGTAACATAATATTACACATCTGTACCCTTGTTCTATGGACAAATGGGAGGATAGTGCATCCTCAGAGAAACTGGGTGACTGAATTGAGGTGTGCAAGTCAGAGTAGTGTCCAGTGGTGGGTTTTGTAAACATGGCGACAATTCTTTTAAATTTGCACTCTAGCTGAACAACTACAAAACAGAGAAGGCAGAAGAACAGTGTTTAAGGTACAGACTGAAATGGCTTAAAGGCACAGAGATGAGCTGAAAGTGAGCAAGAGATGGAGGAAAAAATTAAATAGTACAGAAGAATGGATATCTGCCATAAAGGAGGCTTAGATTCTTAGAGGACCATAGGGCTAAGGAGAAATTAAGAATAACTACTAACTGTTCAACCAGTATGATGTACGAGAAAAAATATCACTAATTTTTACAATACTTCTGGTGATGTGGGCAGTTATCGACAGATATTTGTAATAATATATGTGAATTGCTGGTTACCTGTTCTGCTGACTTAGTAGATGGAATGGTGTCCAGAAGCTGGGTGAAGGTTCTGATGTCAGGTTTCACTCCATATTTATTCATTTGTTCAAGTAATCCAGAACAGCCACCCACAAGAATTAATCTGTGACAAGGTATGCAAAATTTGGTCATAATTTAAATATTTTATAGTGTTACATCCCATACAAGCAAAAATTTAAACAGTCCCTGTAGACTGTCAACATAATCTCTATTTCTGTATGACACAGTTAGTTCAACAATATATTTTGGCATCTATCAACAGGCAGGAATTATACATGCAGACACTAAAACACATGAGCATAGTATAACTGATAACTGATTTTATATAAAAAGTAAAAAAAGTAAAGCTATCCCTGTACCAGGCTGTGAAGGCCCATTGGGTTGTGAGACGTTGAGGGTCCCACATTATCTAGACAATCGGCTCAAAGATAGCGGTAAGGTTGTCAGCCTCACGCGCCGGCTGCGCTTTACTCCCCAGGAAAATAATTTAATTAATTCCTGGTACTCATTTCTGTTAGAGGCTGAGTGAACTCCAGATATATTTTTCAATATTCACAAGAAATACTTCTAATGTTTTCACTTTTATTCAGATGCAAGACACACCCAACTTGAAACATGTGTTAAAAATAATTTTGATCAAATTATACTCTACTTATAGCTTTAATCTTTAGTGTACAGTATTTAAATTTACTTGTGCATACTCTCACCAGAAGCTTTTAACACTGAAAATATTATGTGAGGGTGCAAATGGATGAAGCCGTGACACTGAGCGTGACACTTGTGCAACCTCTTACATAACCACTTATAACTCAAGACGTATGGCGTACCTTATATTAAAAGTTATATGTAAATGAAAAAATAAAGACTGATCTACCCCAAAATGATGTTTACTTTATTTGCAAAATAAAATTTTGCATTGTGTAAACAATTACCCAAAACATACAATAATTTTCCCAATTTTACAGACTTTCAACCGCCTGCTATTTTCAGTGTTAATTCTGGAACCACTGTTCTCCATCATTTTTAATTTTAAATTCTCAATTGTGTCATAATAAAATTTGTATTTACTACACTTCTAAGCTAGTTACTTCAAATAAAGACTAGACTCTTAACAAAAATTAATTTACTTATGTAAGAAAATTTAAAAAAAAATTGCCTTTATGTATACAGTAATGTTTATGTTCCTGTGCAATTACTTTGATGTATTATCAGATTTTTTCAGCTCTTTCATTGGTGATTATTGAGAAATGTGTGCCCCTATTTAGAACAGAATAGTATATGACAACTACACTTAATCTGTGATACTATTCACTCTGTGATGAGAACAGCTGTGTTTGTGAAAGTTCTGAGATCTATCAGTGTTGTGCTTCATGCTACATAAATATGTGAGCTCTGCAATTGCATGCTATTGTTAGATTCAATAACTATTAACTATATCTAAATTCCCTAAATTGAGACTGAACCATTAAATAAATATTGTGACATGTTGCGCAAAGCCGAGCCCCCCCCCACACCAGCAGTGACGTGGCGGGTGAGTCAGCGCTCCCCTCCCACCCCTCACCGGTAACGTAACGCTCGCGTAATAGGCGAGTAATCACCCCGCATCCTGGCAGCTATGCGCGGTGACGTCACGAGCGGAGCCGAAGAGAGCCGAGCGGAGCCGAAGATAGCCGAGCCCCGTAACCGGGTAACTATGCAAGGCGAATCAACAGCGGTGACGTAACAGGATGACGTGGCACTCATTACGCAACAAGCAAGCACTGCAGCTATATAAGTGAGCTGCACAGTGGCTGCGAGTCAGTTATAAAGTAACAATCGCGGAGTTGAAACATAGCAGCCTGCGAGTGTGCGATAACTAAGAAGTCAGCGAGCGGAAGACTTATTGTGTGCTTTCCAGACATAGTGATTGCTGTAGTACGGTTATACTCGGAGTGTGTATTTCAGGGAGACTTGTATAGCTCCCACGTTATTAGTACGTGAAGACAAGTGAAGATCGTGTTAAGAGACTTTGTTGTAGGGTTTGTAAAGTGTGGAAACCTGTGATATTGTGATAATTAATTGTAGCCGTTATTTGCAGATTGTTAAATAAACCCAATTAACCATCTCTACGGCGTCTTCAGTAACGTAAACACGTTACAATATTATATTAATGAGTAGTAAGGTCAATCAAGTGCAACATTTTAACACTTAATAAAGCCTTTATATGTCATGGCCACTATTGGCAATAATCTGAAGGTACAGCCAACATTACAAAGGAAACACTTTAAATGTATGATAAACACATGCTGGAAAGAAACTCCTACAATTAGAAATCAAGATAGATTAAAATACTAATGTAATTAAAACAAGTTAATTTAAAAATGATAGACAATATCAGTAATTCATTAAATGTTTGTATTGTATGAGTATGTGAGTCTGGTAATGTCCATATATATTTGCAGATGAATATACTGCCAACAAGCCCCAATGGTGTCTCTACTTTGACGTAGTGGAGGGGCTTGCGTGGTCAAATGACCCTGAGAGCTATGTCGGCGGTAGCACAGCTACTGGTAGGGCCACCCACGTCAGACACGTCGAAGGGGATCACCCAGACTAAAAGTGATACCCTGGTCGTCCAAGTTGGGGGCTGGCCAAGAGGCTGACAACCTCTCACCGTAAAAAAAATACAAATGTCTTAAAACCTGGAATCAAGCCTCGGAAACCTCAACAGAATGGAAGACGACAACTGGCAAAGAATATGGACTACTCTCTAGCTATATGGAATGTGAAGACCGTAAACAAACTGGGTGCCATGAAATCGTTACTAGAACAGATAGATAAGTACAATATGAAAATCACAGTCATACAGGAAAAAGATGGCTGGGCAAAGGAATCATGGACTTAAAGAAACATACTATATGTTACAGTGGTAAAGCAGAAGGCAATAAGGAATTTGGTGTAGCCTTTGTAATAGAACGAGAATTTAAAAGAAAAATAATAGACTTGAAACCAATAAGTGAAAGAATTTGCACTTGAGAATTAGAATGAAATTTTTCAATATGACGTTCATGAACGTGCACGCACCTACAGAAGAAAAAGAAGAGGAGCTCAAAGACAATTTTTATCAACAAATGGAAGAGACATATGATTCAGTACCAAGTAATGACATAAAGGTTATTTTAGGGAATCTTAATGCCAACATAGGTAAAGAGAAGGAATACAGAGGAGTAATTGGGACAGAAAGTTTACATGATACAACCAACCACAATGGAATAAAATTAATAGATTTTGTAGAAAGTAAGAACTTGATCATCAGCTCTACATACTTCCCGCACAAAAATATACATAAAAGAACATGGGTAGCACCAGATGGGGTAACCTTCAATCAAATAGATCATTTCCTCATAGAGAAGCAATTTGCGACAAATATCCTGGATGTAAGAACATTAAGAGGGGCCAACAGTGATAGTGATCATTACTTAGTACAGGTTAAATATAGATGCAAAATAAGCTGTCAAAAATCCAAGCAGTATGAGAAATGTAAGAAATTTAATATTGACAAGATTACGGAGAGTGATAAAGAGAGAAGCATTTCAAAATGAAATTAAAGAAATTTATGACAATAGAGCAAATAAAGAAGTAACGGTAGAAGGGATATGGGTAGATTTTAAAACTGCAGTAATTACAGAAGCCGAGAGGACTCCGGGATATCAAGAGAAACAGAATAATAGAGAATGATTCGACAAGGAATGTAGGGAGAGTATAACCCTCAAGAGTAAAAAATTTATGGAAAGACCAACAAGAGCAAGAAATGAGGCATATAAAGAAGAAGGAAAGAGGCAAGATTTACAGGAAAAAGAAATGGGCCTTTCTAAATGAGCAATTACTGCAAATGGAAGAAGACTTCAAAAATAACAAAACAAAAATGCCTTTGGTCAAATCAAATATAGTATGAAAGAAGGTTTCAAACCAAAAACAGAATTTATCCAAGACAAAAAAGGGCTTCTAATAAATAATAAAACAGGGATTATGAATACATGGAAAGAATATTTTGAACAATTATTAAATCAAAATCAGAATATGGAAGATAATGAGGACAATGAAGAAGAAAATACAGACGATGGCGAAGGGGAAGAGATAATAGAGCTCCCAACAAAGGAAGAGGTAGAAAAAGCATTAAATGAGCAAAAAATAAATAAAACACCAGGAGGAGATAACATACGAGCAGAATTATTGAAGGCAGGACAAGAAGGAATAACAGTACTCCACAGAATTATAAATAAAGTGTGGGAAGAAGAAAAGATACCAGAAGATTGGAAAGAGCACTTTAAGTCCCATATTTAAGAAAGGGGATAAATTAACATGTAGTAACTATACAGGTATATCATTACTACTGACAGCATATAAAATTTTAACAAGGATACTAAAAAAGAGACTGGATATATAGGAAAAATAATAGAAGAATATCAATCAGGATTTCGACCCAATAGGTCAACAATAGACAATTTATTCACCCTGAGACAAATAACGGAGAAATGCTGGGAATTTAATACAGATATTTACCTATGCTTCATAGATTTGAAACAAGCATATGATACAATAAATAATAAGGAAGAAATTAAGGATGCTTATGTCCACTTTTGGTATTCCAACAAAACTAAGTAGAATAATTAACTTAACCATGACAGAAACAATCAATCGAGTTGAAATACAGAATCAGTTAACAGAAGGCTTTAAGACAAATCAAGGTTTAAAACAGGGAGATAGTTTGGCACTATCACTATTTAATTTGGTATTGGAATATATAGTGAGGAAATGTAATGTAGACTCAAGGAACACAATAGCGTACAAATGAACGCAAATAATGGCGTATGCAGAATATATTATTATAGTACTGAGATCCCTAATAGCAATGCAGGAGACATATAAAGAAATAAAAACCATAGCAAAAACAACTGGCTTAGAGGTGAATGTAAATAAAACTAAAATGCTGATACACTCCAGAAGGAATCCAAGGCAAACTGGAGAAATTAACATGCAAGGGGACGGAATAAAATAGTTGAAGACGTCATATATTTAGGATCAAAATTCCACAAAGATGGAGAGGAAAATAGAGAAATAAAA